CATTATTACATGAAAAATCACATATCTTTGTAAAACATTCTAACTTCTGCTCTTATATAGCAAAACCAAGCCAATCAATGAACAATCAATGAACGCACATATTATAATGGTTGCGTACCATAAGAGTTTTAGAAACTTCTAACAAAAAGCATTCTATCTGAGATCTAGTCCATTAAGCGTTTCATACAAAACTAAAGCCCTGTCTACAAAGAAACGGAAATGCAGTATAGAAGTAAAAAAAACAATATCCTGCATGCTGAGCATGGAGAACATTGACTTACCAACAACATCCTGAGGTGGCACTTCGCCAGCATTGAGTGTTGATACAATCTTCTTCACCTCTTCACTAGTCCCATTCTGCGGTTGTTCATTACAAAACAAGATTCAGAGCAATACACAAAGGACAGACTAAATATTGATCAATAATCATAACTCATACCCATCATTCCATCAATTAAAAGATCAAAACTTCACATTAACAAACACACAGCGCGCATATGTAAGCTTAATCATGATCACACAGTATGCCCAATTGCCCACTACAATTTACAAACTAGACTACTAAATTCAGACTTGCATCCGAATTACACGTAGTGGCTACGAAACGCCTAGATAATGCAATGATTATATTCCACGGATCCAACATTTAAAATAAGCATGTACGGCTGCAAATGAGTAGCTTAACCAATAAAAGAGCAATTCGCTTGAGAATATAAGGATCGGGACAAGGATAACAGATTCAGGGATCAGTAGAAACTCACGCATTTCCAGTTGCCACCGACGAAGAACTTCCGGCCCATATCTGAAGATGATGAATACAAACAAGGACGACCACGAGATTACGCTGCAAGAAAAAAATTAAAAAGTCGATATAGACGATGACGAAAGACTCCGTGTAATTTATAGAGATTTCAATATTTCATCCTTCGCCTCTCAAATTTATATGGAGTCCATTTGATAATTACTACTCGGTAATTCCGTATTAGCAATATCAATTTATTTTTTTAAGAAATGTGTAATGTTAAAAATTTGGTACTCCTTGTGGTAACACTTTCTATTGCGAATATATTCTCTCTATGGTGAGTTTCCGCCTCTAGGGATTTTCCTCTGCTATATGTGGTGGTTAGTGACTTAATCGACGGGCGTCCATTTCACCAAGTGGGCCGCGTCACTAAACGAAAATGACCATAGTGACATGTTTAATGGCATGAGTGACACGGGCGGTAGCAATAGTAACACGGACGGTGACTACAGTGACACGGGCAGTGGCTACAGTGACACATGCGGTGGCTACATAACACGGGCGGTGGCTACAGTGACACGGATGGTGGCTACAGTGACACGGGCGGTGGCTACAATGACACAGGAGGTGGCTACAGTGACACAGGCGGTGGCTACAATGACACCGACGGTAGCTACAGTGACACCGGCGGTGGCTACAATGACACCGATGGTGGCGACGGTTACATTTGATAGTGACATTAAAATTGGACAGTGACATTAAAATCTCGCAATGACATGAGTATGACCTTCTTAGTCACCTTTTTGTCCTCATGTTAATGTGGTCACATTTTTTGGAAATTGGTTTTGCTTTAGTAATATTTAGGGCAAAACCCCATCATCCTAACTATTATAAAACATTTTTCAAAAATACTACCAAATCAAAACTTATTGGAAAATGGAAACTAATAATCCACTTTTTAGTTGTCTTCTTACAATAGTCCTGCCCAATCGTAAATCAGGAATTATTTGACCTTTCCATCCCATCTTCTTTCGCTAATGATGACCTGCTATTCCAGGTCATTTTCTTTTCTCTGTAAATCATTAAAATATAAATTTCACCTTCTAGAAATCTTCTCGAATGGTCTCACATAACATTTTTTTTCTTCATTAATTTCTTTTTCTTCTTTTTCTCTAATTATATTGATTTATTTACTTTGTTTATGCATTCATTTGTCCATCTACCATAATACTTTTTTATAGAATTTTCTTGTGATAGTATTTTTTTTTTTGGGGAAACTGTCAAATAGGTCATCGAACTTTCATAAAAAAGTCAATTAAGTCCTTCTATAGAAGACTCTGTCCGGTCGTCGCGATTTGGGGCGGTTCCTGGTGGAATTTTTTGATGAAATTTTTTGAGTATCTTATTCATCAAGTCTAGTTTACCCATACCAAATTTCAGCTAAAACTTTAATGGGGAGCGCATTCAAATTAATTCGAGAACGCAAAAATGCACAATTATCTTCAAAAATTAATTTGAATGTGTTCCCGATTGAATTTTTAGCTAAAATTTGGTATGAGTAAACTAGACTTGGTGAATAAGATGCTCAAAACATTTCATCAAAAAATTCTACCGGGAACTGTCCCAAATCGCGACGGCCGGACAGAACCTTATATAGAAGGACTTAATTAACCTTTTTATGAAAGTTCGAGGACCTATTTGACAGTTTTCCCTTTTTTCTTCTATTCCTATTCGTTGTAGTACAATCTCTTTTTATACGGAGTAATTTTTCCCGGCTACTTGTTTATATTTTTTGAATTTTTAAGAAAATATAAAAATATATTAGTGGTAGAATCAAGGTAAGAAAAGGAAAAAATAAATAAGTGGAAGTAAAAAAAGTAATAAAGTAAAAAAGTAGTAGGGCGAGAAAAATGTCTTTTATAAGAAGGGAACTAATTCAAAAAAATAAATAAAAATGAAAAAGAAACAATAAATGGAAAGAAGAAAAAGAAAGAAATGGAATACATAAACATGTAAAAGAAATAAGGAGACGAAAAAATGAAACTTAAGAGTCAGGATGATAAAACAACTTTTGAAGAGAAAAAAGAAAAAGGATATGTGAGACACTTAATAGAATTAGTAGAGGCTTAGTATTGTACTTTACATTAAACTCTCTTGAATATAAATATATCTGTCAGGGTTCCTTAGGGAGTAACTTTTCCCATTATTCTCACATGATATCAAGAGCACATTAATTTTTTTTTCCGATCCTCTCTCTAAAAAATTTTCCGGCGCCGCGTGCAATACCCTAGAGCCGTCGCCGCCTACAACAATTCTGCCGTCTTCCGCCGCGACGCACACCATGGCAGCTCCGACGTCGCAAGTTTCTGCAGCTCTAAGCCAACCGCCTTCTCTTACATCAGGTTCGGCCAGCACCACTGTCTCGACCGGCGCTCCCTCATTCTTCGGATCGCTGCCGGCGAACAGTTCCTTCCCCTCCGGCGTGACCTTCTCCTCCAATTTTGCGTCTCCAAGTCGGGCCTCTATGCCATATCCCCTTTTTCAAAATTTCCCACCGGCGTTTCCATGGTCAGTCCCTACTCCGGTGCAGGCTGTTCCGCTCGAACCACCCCCACTCGCCGGAACTGGTTTTGCCGGCCCCACGCTCGTCAGCTCGCCTGGTATCTCCTCCGTTGTTCCTCCCTCTCGCACACAAGCAGGCGGCCCAGTCGGATCCTTACTTTCTGATCTGGCTCAAACCATATCTCATGTGGCCACCAATGTTACAAATATTGTGACTACTAAACTTTTGCCGGTAGAAGACTACACCACTTGGAGGACACAATTCGAATCATTTCTAGTTTCACAAGCTCTATTGGGCATGGTTGATGACTCCATTCAGGTACCCCCCTGCTTATTCCATAGATGCTCTTAACCGTCAAACTCACAATCCTGAATTTTCTACTTGGTTGAGAATTTATCAAACCATCCGTTCATGGTTATTTGCAACCCTATCTAGGGATGTTCTTATCGATGTACGTGATTTACAACATTCATATGAAATTTGGGAGCGGTTGGAGTCTCGGTTTATGTCTGCCAGTTTAGCGAGATCTATGGAATTAAAGCGTTTATTTAATCAAATTAATAAGAAACCTGATCAGTCCATTGATAATTATTTGCGAGAAATTAAAACATTAGCTGATGATTTTGCCACAATCAATTATCTTGTGCCTCAGCGTGAAATTTTAAAAACTACTATTATGGGACTAGGACCTGAGTATGAATCTTTATTCATTGTTGTGTCATTATTTGGACAAAATTTCCCGTTTGAGACCCTCCTTAATCATCTTCTTGAGTTAGAGCAGTGGGTCCTTTATCTCCGCTCCCAGGAATCCGAGTCCCTTCATCAGGCATTTGGCGTGGCTGTTTCTTCTCCCAGGCAGTCGTCTGGGCAGCAGCCGACCCAGCCGCATTCGGGGTCCACACACCCGGTCAGGCAGCAGGCTTACCCGGTCGGGCAACCGCGACAGTATGGCGCGCGGCCGAGACAGGTGATGGTGGCAGTGTAAGGTGAGATAATTCCTGATTTACAATTAGATGAGACTATTGTAAGAAGACAACTAAAAGCTGAGATTAGTATTTTCCATTTTCTAAACTTATTTACAAAAATATAATTAAAACTATTATGTGTATAGTGCAATGATTATTGAAGTGTGAAAATCAAACATATATCATTACTTATTATGACTAAAATTGTCACAACAGTCACTGCACTTGGATGATACGTTTTTTATAAATAAAACTTATCCCTCCGTCCCATGACCTTCTCCCATTAAGATTAAGACAAGAGAAGGTGGCACGATTAGCAAGAAAAGTGGATTTGTAAGGTTGATATTAAATTGATAAAGTAAGAATAAAGTAAGAATGGTTTAGAGCCACACAATATTTACCAAATTTGATATGAGACAATCTTAGTGGGACTTCATGAAAAGATAAAATGTAACAATCTTAATGGAACGGAGGGAGTAACACTTAAGAGGTCTTTTTTGGAAAACAACTCTTACTTTAGTACGTACGTAGTAATATACTCTCTTCATCTCTTAAAATTTATCATTTTTAAGGGTCCGTTCAATTAGTTGATTTATAAAAAATATTGAAAATATATTTTTATAAATTTAATAAATATATGAATATAACTAAAATGATCATTTTCGTTAATAATAATTTTGTAAAACTATAAAATTATATTAATCAAAATCACTACCAAAGTATGACGATTAAAATATTATTCATTCATTTTCGAACATCTCCTTTTATCGCACAAAACAGACCACGCTACTCGTACTCCACATAGTGCTTTATTTCTGAGTACTCTCTCTCATCATCCCACACAACGCACATGACATTTAACTAAGGCAGCGGAGCTTCCACCCACGCCCGAATAGATCGCCTCACTTTGCCGCCACCGCCACCGCCACCCATGGCCGACGATAAGCAGACCAAAAAGAAAAACAAGAAACAAAAACACCAACACCCCAATGATCAATCAACTAAATCTTCCTCAGATTTCACATTCAAGCCCTGCTCCGAAGTGAAGGGTCTCAGATTCGGCGGCCAGTTCATCGTCAAATCCTTCACGGTCCGCCGCGCACGGCCTCCGGAACTCATCCACCTCCTGGATCTCCCTCCCACTGCGCCCAGCGCCAAGCCATCATTCCGCTCGACCACCGCCTTCATGCCCACCAATTTCACAATCCTGGCTCACCAGGCCTGGCACACGCTCACTCTGGGACTGGGGACGAAGAAGACGAAGGTGGTGATTTTCGTGTTCGATTCGGAAAGTATGAAATCCGCCGTGGACCGCCAATGGCCGTCGGAGATCGCGCTCGGGGATGTGAACAGGAAGCTAATCAGAGGGTTGAGCGGGTGCGAATTGGCGCGGTTCAAATTCAGGAAGGGCTGCATAACTTTCTACATTTACGCGGTGAGGGGAATCGGAAATTTGGGATTTACCAGCGCCGATGATCTGAGAACGGTTTTGCAATCGACGGTGGAGCTGAACGATTTCTTGGATCATACGGAGATGCTGGCGATGCCTAACCAGAGAAGCCTCAAACACGCCGCTGCTCCGCCGCCGATGGCCATGGCCCACTAGTCCGTCCGTTTGCCCTTTTCTTGTTTTTCATTTTTTCACATTTTAGTTTTTTTAAATCTTACATATGCCTATATTGGGATGCTGTGCAAGATTTTTACATTTCTTATTTTTTGGGGAAACTTTGTTGGATTTTCATATCTCAGTTTTTTCAGTAGTGTTACTAATAAACTTTTGTTATCCTGAAGAATTAGGTTTGTCACTTGGCATTGTGAAGGATTAGTTTTACATTAGTTTTTGTCACTTGTTGCATTTTGGTTGTATAAAAAATTATTGAAATTGTGATTCAACTTTGTAAATTTGCACAACTTTACCGTGTGGCCTGAGGATAATTTTTATTTATGCAAAAAAAAAAATTAGAAATTTTATTTATGAAAAAAAATATAAATAATTTTTATTTATGAATTACAATTAAAGTCTCTAATATATTATAGAAATTTTATCAAGACCCCAAAGATAGATGAATTATCATTTCAGGATCTGAAAGATATATATATCAGTATAGAACTTGAATGATGAAAGATTATCAATCTAAGACCTGACATTGATTTTGATTTATTTAAATTTTTATTAATTCTATTGCTACTTTTTGATAAACTTGCCTTTACAAAAGTTTATTTTGTTTAATACAACTAAATGATATTTAAATTTTTTAAAATAAAAAAAATTAATAAAATTCATGACAACTTAGCCCTAGATCAATACTTTTAAATCATCCAGATCATATAATGATACGGAGTAATTTTTAATCATTCAGATCTTATACGAATACATTTCACCTTTTAGGTCCTGAATTGATGATTCATATATCTTTCGAATCTTAAATTGATAAAATTCCAATATTATATTGTATACTCCTAATAATTAGTAGGATAAAGGCTAAGATATAAATGAGGAGCTAGTTCTTCACAATCGTTCCCAAATAAGTGTCTTTAATTGTCTTCTCAATAAGAGCCCGTTTGGCATCACGAAAATCGGGTTTTCCGGCTGATTCTGTTGAAATTTATGAAGTTCTGACTAAAGTGGCTGCATTAGCTGATTCTGCAGATACAAGAAAAAAATATTTTTAAAATATATTTTATTAATAGAATAAAGAAAAAATTACATGTAAAATAGCTAAAATGGTCATCTACAGTAACTTTAGCCAATACAGCCAGAAAAGTAACTCCAACCTTACTTTTTCGGCTTATTACACAATTCAGCGCGCGAAAGCAAAATTTACGTGTTTGATAAAAAAGTTGGCTGATAAGCCCGATAAACCGAAAATGAGGATCGACAAACGACCTCTAAATCCATCAAGTAAGATACAAGAAACTTGTTAGGTTGACACTCGACCATTGACATGCCAATATGCGATCTATGAGTCCTTTTCGTAACGTGTGAAATTGGCTTTACTGTTTGGATTATATTGGAATTGAAAATAAATTTAAAATATTATTTTATCAAAATGATAAAGAGAATTATATTGAAAATATTAAAATAGACTCTTTTAACAATTTCAGTTGAAAAGATAACTTCAGTCTTATTTTAATAGGTGGACAATTCAACAAAATCAAAAGTTTAGAGCTTGTTTGGTAACACTGGAATTGACTCATTCTGATGAAACTTATGAAGTTTTGGTTGAAGTGGTTATGTCGGTCGATTCTTTTAATCTATGAAAAAATTTATTTAAAATATATTTTATTGATAAAATAAAATAAAAAATTATATGAAAAATAGTTAAAATGGTCACGTACAGTAACTTCAACCAATAAAGCCTTAAAAATAACTTCACGCTTACTTTTTCTTGTTATTACATATTACGTAATTCAGAGTGAAAAATCAAAAGTTATATGTTTGATTGAATAGTTGAAAAAAAAAAGTTACCAAACCGGTTCTTAGTATTACGTGCTATAAAAGAATTACTAATACATTTTTGTTTATTGCTTCTTATACAATATCCAAAATGACAAAAGGTCCAGCTTTTCAAATTATGACAGTTTTAATGGACTATTTAAGAACAGAGTAGAGGAGTCGACTGTCGAGAAGTACAACACAAAAATGTGCTTACAGAATAAGAGTTTTGTTTGGGGTACACAATTTTTGTGCATACACATTTTACACATCTGTGTACGGTATTTTTTGTCTGTACAGAAAAAACGTATTTGACAAAATACGTTTTGTCAGTACAGACAAAAAAAAAACCTTACACAGACATGTGTAAAAAGTTTGTACACAAAAAAATGTGTACCTTTAGAATTTTTCTGAGAATAATGATGACAAAGTGTAGTTTTTGCTGTGTTTGTTTGGAGACTCTTTCTCCCCTTATCAATTACCGAATACTACCTTCGTTCCGTTATGATTGTCTCATTTTACCTTATCGGTCCATCTCATTAAGATTGTCTCATACCAAATTTGGTAAAGTTTGTGTGGCTTTATATCATTCTTACTTTATCAATTCAATATCAATCGCATAAACCACTTTTTATTGATTTGGTCCCGTTATGATTGTCTCATTTCACCTCTTGTCCCATTGTTAGCGGAACGGAGGGAGTATTTCATTAAACATGTAATTTTTTATTCCACATGCCGGTAATACTAAGAAAATGTAAGGTTTAAATTATTTTTCTGAATGTATTCATATTACTGGGGATGATATTTTTAGTTGTTTTTTCATATGATTTTTTATTTATTTTATTAATAAAATACAAGTATATTTTAAATCCCTCCATAAATAAGCAGAATCAACCAAACCCTGTATCCTACATCCGGTTGTACGTCACCACCGTACATCCGGTCCAATTAAGAAAGACAGTATGGGCTCATCAACTAATGCAACTCATAACCAAAAGGTCCATTTTTTTTGTGGCGGTGATTTTTTTCATAATTTAAGAGAAAAATCGTGGCATTCACTTAATGAGCATTAATGTATTTTTAGTGAGCATCAAACCTATTTTATTGAAAAGTAGGAGTCTAACGAACATCACCATCTCCGCTTCATATCTTTTAATTCACTTTTTACTTTTATAAAACTTATTAAATTATATGTATAAACATTTCGTATGAATTTCAATATGCGAATTTGATGTGATGTGATACTTTGAAATATGCATTGATATGACATTTTACAAATGAGCATAACATTAGTAGTAAATGAGCATATGTAGCTTACAAAATGTGCATTGATATGAAAATCATCGGGTTTGTTAGTTGAACGTCACGACATTTTCATTGAACATCGAAATCTTCTATTGAGATGAAAATCACGATTTCTGTCAAATGAGAGCATTCATTAACTTTTATTGAGCATTACACTTATTTGCTGAGTATTATTATAAGTATAATATTCAATATTGAGTATCGTGATATTTTGAATGATGAATTTATATGTCATTTTGAAATGAGAATAATGTTAGTACAAAATTAGCATACGTAACTTATAAAATGAGTATCGAAAATTTCAAAATGTCATTTGAAAACGCTAATGTGCTCAAATCTTCATTTGTCTATGCTCATTTCGTTTAAACGCTATGCTCATTTGGTATGTGAGATCGATGCCGCAAGGACTCGATTGATTAGTCGGGTCAATATCACCGCAATCTAGTCTATACGTTGTCATCTAGAATCTCTGCAGCATCGGAGATGGAGGAATTTTGACGGACCGGAGCGCCGACGATTGAGCAACCCTGGTGAGATTCGAACAAATCAGGCTACAGCAAGATGGAATCTGCTCCTGAATAGACTGCATCAATGAAAGAACTCTTCGCCTCTCGACGATGGTGGCGGTGAAGCTCGAAACGATGAAGGATGGTGAAGGTCGAGCAGCGATGTCAATGGCGAAGGGATCGACGTGCAATAGATATGGAATTGGAGAAGAAGCCTCAAAGTTGCTGGGAGTTACAAAAATACAGGGTGTATGTGTACACCCGAGTATACCTTATAATTTGCGAGAATCGGCCAATCCGACAGATCTTCGCAATTTTCAACGGAATCAACCAATACAGTCATTTTAGTTATGATCAAACGGGCTCTATATGTGTACATTGTTAGCATTGTTTTACATTTACGACCATGTTCTTTAGGACAAATGGACAATGACTAAATTAATAAATGACTCGGAATAAAAGTAAAACATTGTACAACCCCCTTCAAATAAGACACGTTCAATGTTCAAAAAATCGTTCTAGTCGAATCACTTAATCGACCCTAATTGTAGTTGACTAATCGGCCCAGCCGGCCAAAAAATCGGTGTAGTCGGCCCTCAACCGCCCGACTAGTGCCTAATGAGTTTTAAACCAATGGACACATTACTTTTATACTCTTTTAATACGGAGTAATATAAATAAGAAGTATATACTCCATTCGTCCCACAAAACTTGATCAAAGTTGACTTGTACGTAGATTAACAAATAACTTTAGTCACATATTTCTTACTTTAAACGGAAATGATAAAGTTTTTTGAGACAACCCAAAAAGATATTTAGCCAAATTTTATGGGATGGAAGGAATAAGATTAATTAATAGTGAAATCCCATTTTTTTCCCTTCATACATTTTCGTTTACAAAAAATGCTCATTCATTTCGACATTTCATACCAGTCCTCTATTTATGTCTCCGGCTCTCCGCCTTCTGTTTGCATTTTCCTTGAAACGCAAATCATGCTTGTAAAGTCCTGATTTCCTCTAAACCACAACAGGAAAAGAACAGTTGGAGCAAGTATTTATGGTCTACACTAATTCAAATTTAAACACAACAAAGACGTTCAAAGTTTTGACTGTTCAATTAGTTTTTTGTCCCAATAGATCCAAAACTGTTCTAATCTTATTACCCGAGTTAATCGAATAGGGTGCTCAATCATAAATCATTGACCAATTTTTATAGTGTTCACATCATTGATCGTGTATTGATCTATCAGGAATACATGTTATTAATAAAATAAATAAAACATGAAATGATAAAACACTTAAAATGATCTTATGCAATAAGTTCAGTCAATACAATTAGAAAAATAAACCCAACCTTACTTTTTGTTGTTATTACACAATTCAATGCATAGAATCAAAAATTACATTTTTTATGAAAAAGTTGATTGATAAATCTTGATAAACTGAAAAACGGAGTCACTAAATGAGCTCTCATAATGCTAAACATTTATACTAGTATAACAAATACAAATATAGAAGTGACGTCATGTATACTATAAAAGTGATAACATATACATGTCTTACATAAATATATGAATAAATGTGTGATACAAATTTAGGGATGACAATGGGGCGGGGTTGGGGCGGAGGTTCACTCCCCCATCCCCACCCCATGTCTAAAAAATCGCCCACCCCCCACTATTAT